ATCTATTTCACTAGGATCATTGTGTACTTGCTCAAGGTAGAGTACTTTACTCATTGTATTTAAGGTTACAGTTAGTTTATGTGTTAAATAAAGTTTTCGGGATTAAATAGACCACACGTAAATTTGAAAATTATGTGCCAACCTTTCAGAAACATGGGAAAGTTAAAATATTTGTCAGCAATAGTTAATAAATCAAAATTACATTGACGAAGAAGTTTAATAGATTAAATTCATAGAATACATCCGTCTGTTCAGTTCAGAATTTTTTACCTTTAAAAGCCAAAAGATTAAAATCTGCAAAACTCTCACTTGTTGCTTTATGTGGATGTAAAACTTAGGAAGGAACATTGATTGAAAATGCTTGTAAACAAACTGCTGAAGATAATATTTGGATGTAAGGGAGAGGAAGCAACAGGAGGATGGAGAAAATTACACAGTGAAAAGTTTCATAATTGGTACTCCTTACATGATGATATTATTAAGATTAATGATGAGATGGATAAAACTTGTAGCACACATGGGGACCATGAGAAATTAATTGAAATGCTTATTTTAAAAACCTGAGAAGTGACAACTTGGAAGATCAGTGCATAGATGAAATGTCTCTTGAAATAATAGGGTGAGGGTGTCATCTGGCTCCGTTTAAGGTCCTGCTGTAAACATGGAACTGAACCTTATGATTTTCTAAAGATTGGGGGAATTTTTTGAAAGATGAATTGCTGTCAACTTTTCAGGAAGGGCTGTACTCAATTGGGTTAGTTAATTACCATTCATCAACACTACCAATGAGGCACTCACACTATCTTCTGAAATGGGGGCAGCACTTGTGAAATTGTGTAATGTTACATAAGTTATTGGTTCCATTGCATGTAAGGCCTACTAGTCTTTGTAATGTGAAGCCTGAGGGAAAATTGTCCCTGTTGCAGATCACGGTTCCGTTCCAGTATGAATGGCTGGATGAGATGTTCCATGAGATGGCCACATATGTTTTCTTCGTCCTCACAGGCTACAAGTTCCGGCCTGCATCGGCCAATCCTTACTTTCAGCTCAGCGTCAGCGATGAAGAAGAGGAAATGGATGTGGTGTAAGTGACTTTAGTAATATTGTCCTTAGTTGCAGGGCATGTATGGTACAGTGTAATAATTTGTGTGGATATCTCATTTGTCCATTTGTGCTGTGTTATGCTGATCTCATCCTCCTTAATGTAATAATGTGATAAGTAACAGTTCCCATTCTGAATTGTAAACTGTATATTACAGGGTCAGTCAGTCTGGGTTGACGGAATGTCTGAGCAAGATCTCTCACACAACCAAGGCGATGGTTGATGAGATGTCTGATGAGGAAAAAGACAACTTGTTGGCGAAGAGGGAAAGCAGCCATGAGTATGATTGATGACAAATCCCAGATGTACATGTGATTATTCTTGCATTGATTGTTGGTGTGTTTAAAAATCAGGTATTAAATGTGTGGAACATTTGCCAAATACCTTTCACTGGGACTGGTCACTCACTGAAAAGGAAAGTATTTGAATTATGTGCAGTGTTTAATAGTCATTCAGCTGCTTGCATCTTCCCCATCACTGTTTCTGCTTCAGAATTCCATTTTCTCTCAAAATTTGGGTTATTACCATTTATAAATCTTTAAATAATTAAGCTGTGAATCAAAGCATGGCATTTAAGCAAAGATTATAAGAGCAAAATTAAAAAAACATTGAGTGATAATTTGACTTGGAAGGTATGGAAGTTGGTATTAGCAGATGTCATGGCATTGATTACAAATGTAATGGGTGTTCACGCAAGTCTTAGATCGTCTTTTTCTGTGTTTGAAAACAAATATAGTTGATTATCGTATTATACTGAGAAGAACTAGAGCCTTTGCCTGCCCTTGAGTACACTTGAAAGGTCACATTGCAGATCTCTTTGTCTGAATATGGTGTTTGTTTAATGTTAAAGTGGTTGTTGATCTGAATGATTTTAACATTTCCTACACATTTTCTGTGGGAAATAATTAAGGAAATTTAAGGGAATCAAATGAAACCTATGAATCCACTTTGTAAACAAAGTATCAAGATTAAACCAAGTGGCACACATAGTTAACAGTCTCATGTAAAGAGTTGCATATTAATATGTGTAGGGGATGAAATGGTGTGTTGTGGAAATAATTATTTCTCAGGTGGATGCAAATGGTTTATTGTGATGTTCTGTTTGTGCAACACCGTGCATGGACCCATAGATGTCAGTCTCTTCCCTGACATAATTAAATATCTTAAGAACTAAGTATCTACCTTGTCTATGGAAAAACTGAGACGTGTTCTTGGTTTCAATTTTTAAAAATCACAGGATAGTGCTTGTAAAACAGTCATCCAAATGACATTTTTTCACAAGATGATTATATTAAATTGTAAAACCTTTAATATAAAGAATTTAATAATTTCCTATCAAAGACTGGCTTGTGCTGCTGGCCAACCATAATACTTTTTTTTTCAGTCACATGCTAATACCTTAAATTGTTTTTCTTGATTTGTAATTTTTTATGATTACAGTACTTTTGGAAGAGTATGTGTAGAGGGTGAATACATATGTTGGGGATGGATGGGGAAAATAAAAAATTTCCCAGTTAGCATGTTTTGAGTAATACCTCGTCAAAAATTTCTGAACAAAGAAAGTGTCTTAGTATAAATATAATAACTCTGTAGGTAGATTTTAAATCCTGCATAACTTCTTGAATCATCTTGTTCCAATAATAATGTACCAACCAGAAAATATAGTGATGCTGGTACTTGGCAAATGTTGGTAAATAATGGCTTAAATTTTTTTTAGCAGTTATATATCTATTATAGAATGGATTGAAATGTCTTTAAGTTTGTTTTTAACTTTGTGCCAGTCTTTTTATTTTTTTTTTATATGAGTTCTGGCAATTAAATAACCAGATTGATATTTTTGTACAGCAGTTGGTGACACTGGCGATTTGGCTCTTGTCGGTTTACGTGACTCATCAATTTTGAAACAGTCATTTGGATTTAGTTTTTTGTATGATTTAAGTTTGTGTTTTATTAATATATTGTTTTCATTTTTTTCCCGTGTGTGATCAATAAATTGTTAGAACAGGATTTTCTTGGCAAGATTGTGGGAGGAACCTGACTTTTAGGAAAAATAAGTGACTAGTGATGAGAAATGGGTCCTTTAGTATGATCCAGAAATAGAATTTATGTTGGAAGAGTCCCCAAAATTAAAGAAAGTACAAATATCAGAAAGGTCATAATCTTTCGAACACTTCCATATGTCAAAAGACAGTCAACAGACTTCTGCCATGAAGTTTTGGAATATTTATAGCAGTACATTAGAATAGAAATACAAAGTTTTTGACCACTCAGGTGGATTTTCCATTATGACATTGCTCCTTCCCATGTAGCATTTATATAAAACAATTCTTGGCCAAAAATCAAATACCAGTATTCATACGTAATGGCACTTGCCTTATTTGGCCTCTTGTGACTTTTTTAATGTGCCTGATACTAAAGACCTTTGTAAGGGTCTTGTTTTGAATCACTCTGAATTATTCAGAGTAATTAGGCAGCAGAAGTTAAGGATTATGGGTAAAAAAATTCCAGAAATGTTTCCAGGCTTGGCAGTGATGTTGGAAAGTGTATAAGAAGTCAGAAACTGAGTACTTTGAAGGTAATAAGTCTGGTTATTTAGTTGTCTCACTGTGCATTTTACATTGTATGTTGAATGACTGCTTGATAGTGTCAGTTGCTTTCCATGTGCATGCTTGTCATTTTTACTGACTTATATTTATTTTATTTTAAGTATAAAAGGAGAAATAAATAATTGTCTTCTATTGTGTTCTTGATTTGTGGTTGGCAAAATGTGATTACTGAAAAAGAGGAAGAATGCTGAAGTTAAACTCACAGATAAAACAATTTGATGCTGTAGTTGCAACATTATTGTACTTAACTTAAAACAGACTGGTTATATTTTAATTAAATTTTAGTTTCCATTTCTTCTGGTGAAGACCTTACATGAAGGAGAACTTTTTGTATCCTCCTTTGCTAAGATCTTATTATAAAATATAAGTCCTTAAGGTAGAACCAATGTTTTTTAACACCGCAACAATAAAAATAAAATAAACAGGTTGTAAATTTGAAAGATTAAGATTATCAGTTGGGGAGTATTTATACCTAAAAGAGAAAACTATGAGGATCTTTATGGTTTGATAATCTAGAGATTAAGTGCTGAATTCCTATGCCAGAGGCCTGGAATTTTTAACCTAATTGGTTGTAGTCCTCTTTCTTCAATCCTGATAAATTCAATCCCTTGTGACTGCGTGGCACCCCCACTGTGGTTTGTATACACTAAAGTGCAGGTTCCTTCTGCTGGCCATCATCCTATCATCAGTGGTAGCAGAGTCCACCCACCTCAGAAATGTACTCCTCTAATATGATTGAAGTTGGAACATAGGAAGGCCAAGTGGACCTAACTGGGAATGTTAGCTACATCTCTTTAATTGGTATTGTTAGGGTCATTAAATAAAAGAGGTTGAGATGGTCCATACATGTAAGACAAACAGCAGGTTGTCATGGTGTCACTGCTGAATTTCATGTACAGTTGAATGAATACTGAATGTTTATTGAAGACCCTCTATCATAAAAAATGAATTTAATACAAGCACACCCTTTTAATTCACATTTATAACTTTTCCAAAATGATTGAACCAAGTGCAATATCATAAACTGTAAATTATGTATCTACTTGTGTTTTATTTTTCTCTCCCCCCCCCAAAAAAAAAAAACAGGTTGGTGCTGTGAAGTACCCAGAAGGTACTCTGTTGAATCTTGCTTGTGTCTGGCCTCATGATAAATTTCACAGTAGTGTCCTTATATGAGCCATGACTGTATTGTTTCAAATCTTTACCCACTCAAAGTTCATCTCATTTCATGCTTATATACTACTACAGTTGAAACAGTATTGTTATAAATTCTAAAAATCCAATTAATTTGTGTTCTTTATGTAAAGTAGTAAGTAAACATGCCAAAGGCTGCATAATTTAAGCCTGTGCTGCATATTAAAAACATAATGTGTAAGAGACATTTAAATTAACTGGCCTGATAGTGTCTAGAGAAGCTGATGCTTACTTAGGTAGTCAAGAAATTCCCTGCCTTGTATGGAATCAAAGGTTTCAGTACTTGGTTCACAAAAGTCCACCACTGGACTGTATCATGAACCAGATTAGTGTACCCCACATCTTCATGTCACAAAAAATTTAAATGGTATATCAAAGAAACAGTTACAGGCTGAGAAAATACTGTAGTCATGGGTTCAAATGTAACCAAAAGCAGGGATATCTCTAAGCATATTTACCTCTGCCTGTCATTGTAACTCTGGAGATTCCATTCAGTGTTGAGTGAACTCTGAAAATTCAAGGGGAAAATGGTAAATGCAAGAAATAATTGTGTCCTTTATTATCTTAGGCCCTTGTTTGACTTAATTTTGTGTAATGTTGATGTGTGATTGATGTTCTGTAGGTTGTATGTAAATAAATAAATGTGTAGACTTTTATTTCTATAGTTGATATTGTAATGTGAATTCATCAGTTAGTTGTAAGCAAATAAAAATTGGTAATATCCTCCTTCAACAGGAGGCTCCTTTAGTGGCTTCCCCTCATCCTCGGTGACTGTGCTGCCCTCTGTGCCAGGCACGCATCCTGTTTGGGTAACTGTCAAACTGAGAACATTGTATACAAAACACTGGAAGTTCTGTAGTAGCAGTTTTCAATATGAGATTGCTGTCTGTGCACAACCTGTTGTGACTTAACATTTGGAGGTACCCTCGTTAAATATCAGTCAGGGGCCAAAGAGTCAGCTTGTAAATTGTATGAATACAAAGTATCTCATTCTTAAGATTTTTTTACAGTGGTGTATTAGTAATATGGTATTTATCTAAATGTTAAGTATTTGGCTGTGGTGTGCAAAGTTAAATCTTTCCTCTGTTTTCCTAAGTGACATGGTAATTCTTCTAAAAGATGGTAATGAAAACAATAATTTTTGTTTGATTTAAATCTTTGTATTTCCTTTAACCTCTATCATACAGGAACAGGGGATTTAAGCACATGACCTACAGGGCTGCCAGCCAGAATATCTCCAGGATTAACAGTTTAGCAACGTACTACTGCAATGCACATCCAGTTTGACCACACACAAGCTGTTATGCATATCTGACAAAGTTTATTCTTTCAATTATCAGAGTTTTGCTCGTTAAATATAACAGCTTCGCTGTTGTTGCCATTTGCAATCTAAATTTCCTCCAAACTTCAGTTACATTACAGTTCAAGATGCCGTTATATGAATACAGAGCTGTTTGTGTCTTGTCCAGATGTCTTGATACAGTCTTCTCAGTTTATTATAGTTATGCATTTTGAAGAATTACTTGCAATCATGATTATAGTCTGTGTACAGAAATTAAATATTGTTCTGTGCATGGCATAGAAATAAACTTGCATTAGCAAGGTTAGTATAGATTATACTTAAATATTGTTCCGTAATGTTAATAAAATATTTCCACAGAAAGTGATAAACGTAGTACAGTAAAGTGAATACAGTATAAAAATAACGTAGGTCATGCTGTTGTCCCAGCTTATGTTTCAGGGGTTCATAAACTACAGGCTGCAAGCCACACAACACATAGCAGTAAGTTACTGACCTGAAAGTTCTGTTTCACATTAATATTTTTTTTTAAAAAATGTAATTTAGTATGTATGCTTGATTCAGACTATTCTCACATATTTCAAGGATCAGACCCTTAAAACTTATAGCAATGGGGAGATTTGCGTAAGGGAATATGGTACTTCAATATAGGAGTGTGAATGCTACACTCATGGGCCGGTTATCTCTTAAGTCACTTGCAACCAGCTTCTTCCAAATTCTTACTTTCTCACAATTCATGACCATCTTATCCTCCCAATTGACTTTTTAAAACTGTGTAGTGAAAAGTGTCATTAAGGGACCTAAGAATCAACATTTCTCCTACCCAAATATCTTTTGTCTTATAAAGTGTAGCTCATTGATTTAAGGTTTCACAATAAAGGGACCAATATTTATAATAGCAATGCATTAGAAATGTGGATCTGTGTGATAAATTGTATTTCAATGGATTCTGGTTAATTGGGACACATCAGGACTAGAAGACTATGGCTCAATTAATCTGCTGCCCCAAATGTGCTTAGTCCCACGTAGAGTTAAAAATGTTTGTTCTTTAAGATTTGTCCCAAATAAATGGCTGCTCTGATTAACCGATGTCCCAATTAACCTGAATATGCTGTATTAATTTAGTGTTGGATGTCACTTCTACCACCCCACTGCACAAATGAAGTATTGGATAAGTTACTGGCATCATCATAAGCCTTGATAAAATTAAATTAACATATAACAAAACGTTTAAACTGCAATTAATTAAACATTTTGTACATTTAATTATGTTATTGCAGTAGACATGTTTCAGTTCTGTGGAGCCAGCCACCTTCAGTGTACTTACCATTACACTTCACATATTACTTTTATATTTGTCACTGTTTTTCAGTATTGTTTTTCATGCACTTAATAATTATTTAACAATGCCTTAAAAAGTATTTTGAAAAACCTGTATTCAGTGAATTATGTCACCTTGTTATAATCATTAACATTCTATGATCTGACAATGAAGAAATGTGTTTTTATTCAACTTTTAAACATAGAAGTACTTTTAAACTGAGAACTAAAGTCATTGAGCATGGGTTCTAAAATTATTTGACAAAACATTACTGTATAAAAATATTAAGTGCATAAGAAGTATTACTTTAAGGTTATGATATGACAGCTTAAAACATTACTGTATAAAAATATTCAGTGCATAAGAAGCATTACTTTAAGGTTATGATATGACAGCTATGACTGATAAAAGAATAATAAATTTCACAGATAGCACACTGAAAGTGGCTTCCCCGAGTCAAAATGAATCTGCTATAATAATTAAGTAAATTGTAGCATTGAAGAAAATAACTGTAACACTGTGTACATTACCTGATGTTACAAATTTATCCCCATTTGAAGATTTCTTTCACATCTTATGTGCCTATACATGTTTCTTGTATTGTCATGTCACTGAAAGTGTCCCAGACCATTACTGAACACAATTTCTCAGCATTTAGAAATGTTTGAGACAATGTCAGATAGGTTAGAAAATGTATGAAAATGTAGCACATACAAAATATTAACCTGCATTAAAATCAGACTTCCAGTGGTGTACACATATTTTATAATGCATTCTCTTTTTATTTTGCCTTCCACCTGTCTTGTATTACAGATTTAAATATATTTGTGTGAAGTAAAATAATACTTGAGTAATAAAATATAACAGTAAGTCATGAACAAGGGGTAAAGGATGAGACAGGTTCTCGAGGCGGTGTAGCCTTGTGGGTGGCTGGGTAAGAGGGCTGAAAGAAGAATTAGGATAAGAGAGCACTTAGGCCCTTACTGAGTTGGATTACAGCTAGGACACTAAAATACAGGAGAGACTAGATCAAAAACAACTGAAGAGAAAATAGATCAGATGGGAAAACCAAGGAAATAATGGAGGGAAGATTTTGAGGCAATGAAGTAGTTTAACTGGCAATCTCTAGTGAATATACATATCCCAGATATTTTACATTAATTATTTCTTCTTCACCTTATTCTGCTTCAAGCAAAGCATAGAAATCACATTCCTCGTTAGCATGGCTCATAGAAATGTATACACATCATATTCCTACTGGTACTTTCTTGAGAAATACATTGATATTGTTCCCCCACCAGTAATGTTTTGAGAAGTGGATAGTGGCGAATTTCTATTGAAAGTTTATTTAAAAATTTATGGACACCACAATCCTATGTGTAGAAACATAGCGTATCATTTTATGCTGGTTGTTTCTGAAGGAATCTGTAAATAAAGCATTCTTATTGGCAAGAACAAGTAATTCACACATTACAAATGCCTAAAACAGAGAGAAACCAATAAATAAATATACACTCACTGTAAGTTATTCCGCCTATTAACAGGGCGCAGTAGCTTCGCAGTCTACCTTAATCTACATCGTTACACACTCTCAAATGGTGTATATCCTGCATGCGGATAGTAGTATAACAGGAGAGGTACAAACAACATTATTGTAGCTTTTCAAAAAGTATACATATCATGGTGGCATGAACAGTATAGTACTGCAACCTGTTGGCAATGCAATGAACTACTAACTGTGTTTTGTGTTGTTATGCAGTTTGGTGTGCACTCTGATGACAATTTCTTTAACTTTATTATAACAATTGAATACATTCGTACATTACTAAACTTTTACAACAATTATAGTTCGTGAAAAGCATCAGAAGGTATAAAAATTCCTTCACAGTGTACACCAAAGCATATGTAACAATTGAAATATATTCAGTAATTGTACTTGTAATATCTTGGGACAGCGCTTTTCTGGATTCGAGCCCCAGCGAGCTGCTAAGGTGTGAAAAAAACTGTATGGTTTTGCACAGGACTAGCTGTTTGTGAAAGTCTTCAGCCGGAAGTACTGTCGCTAGGGTACCAGCAGCAAACTTCGTGTGGCCCGCATGCAAGTCGTAAAGTAATTTGAAACAAGTGCCGTAGTCGCCATGGCAGTGAGCGCCAGTGGGTTAGAAGTGAATATTCTGGAAAGTCCGAAGTCCACGTGGAGTGAGGGCTAGTGTGACCAATCAGAGCACTTGTTCAAAATTTAAAAGAAACGACCTCCAAATTTAGGAAAAAAGAAAAGGATACAGAGGGCACTCTGGTCCTGGACTCCGGCAAGGGTACACAGTCTGATTCTTGTCCTACGATTAGGCGGAGAGCGGTCGTTACCTGCAGAAATAAACGACTGTGTTAGTCGTTAGAGCGAAGTGTTTTATTTCTGCACTGCAACGATGAGACTTTTTACCGGAAGCTACTATCCGAACCACTTTGCTGGCCTTAGCTTATACTCCTACCCGTAATATTCTCTGACGAAAATCCTCATGTTCATCTGAGCTAGGCTCTAGAACTAACCCATAAACCCCGTCGCGGTCAGTATTTTATTTATTCAGTGTTCTGTCTGACGACAGGTCCATATGAACAGGATCCTTCCATCCTTTTCGCGGACTGGGACCTGTTCATATACGTTCTTGGCAGATGATCCAGAAGGGGTTTGCCATTGCCTTCTTCTGTGTGTGAATGGAGTAATTGTTGGGATGCTACGGAGAAACCGGGGAAGCCCCCGGAGGAAAACTTCGTGTTGCCTAGACCACGGCCTTGCCCAACACAAGTTATAAATTCGGGCACCGCCGGGAATCGAACCCGAGACCCCAGGATTACAAGGCCAGCGTTCTAACCGCTAGACCACCGTGGCTCGTGTGTTATGTATTGCATTATTATGACTTATTCCATTAGTCCTATTACCATATGAATAACTTACAGATCCATGGAATGCAATAAAAAGACGTGTGAAAGGACAAAACTGCAGAGTACAGTAAAAAGTTAGTGACTTTGTGCAGAAACCTCTTCCACTGTCCTATTACCCTGGTAGGGGATCGCCAATTTGTGTCCATCGCGCATGTGCAGGTAGGTAGTAGTAGATGTTCGTAGTGTGTGAACGTGTCAACAATATGAAGTGAAGCTTTCGCGGCGACTGAAGTTGATGAAACTAATCTCGGGCTACAAGCCGCGCCAGATCTCCGAACGGCGAACAAACCACATCTTCTGCCAACGTTTCGAGGAGAGCCCTGAGGATGAAAACAGAGATTGTTCTCGAAACATTGGCAGAAGATGTGGTTTGTTCACCTTTCAGAGATCTGACGAGGCTTTTAGCCCGAGAATCTTTCATCAATGTGTCAATATGCTTGTCTCGACTAACACGAACTGGAATGTAGTATTATGTGTGTTTCTTGAGTCATTCTCATTTGAAGTGCGTTGTCTGATATTTCCGCGGCGCAATCACTATGATTGAGGTATTTAGTTCCCTAGACATTCTCGTTAGGAATGAAGTGTCTATGTATTTCTAAAGTAAATCTCACCATAGAATACTGCGCTTATGTGTAAATTGCGTTTGTAGATTTTTCGTCATAACTTCTAGGCTTTGAAAATTTGAAGAACGTCATTATCCCGTGGAACAGAATCGAGTGACGCAGGTCGATTCTTGGTCAATACACTAAACTTCTAATTTCATTGAATTCCTATCAGCTTTGAAAGTCTTTCTAGTATGCGATGTATGTGGAATTGTGTCCCATCCCAAACATGAAATGCAGTTTTCCTACGCCGACCTCCTCGCTGAGCGAGGTGGTGAACCATTTTGATGAGGCGGAGGACCTGCATGAGTAACCCACCCTCCGCTGCTACTTCATTCTGCGAGTGAACGACCAGACGAGGTTGTGACCTTATTGTGGGTCACCGAAGTTCTGCAACTTTAGTGACGGGGTTTCCCCGCAGTTCTGTTACAGCTAAATTCGAAGTTTAAAACATGACAGTTTTTCAGTCTCTTCCCTTTATCGGACTGCTCACAATCGCATTTTTTTATTATGTTACAACGTGGTGGAACTGTCTGTGCAACTGCGGACACACCCATTCCACACCCTCACACTATTTCCCTAAGATTAATTTTAATATTATCCTCCAACCCAAAGCCTAAGTCTTCCAATTGGTCTCTTCAAGTTTTCGAACAGAAATTTTTTTATGCGTTTTCCATTTCCCCGATACAGTAGGTTCGGTCCATGCAGTCAACCTTTACGTGATCACCCTAGTAATATTTAAAAAATAATACAAATCGTGAAGCTGTTCATATTTAAATTGTTTCCAATGCCACTTACCGTGTTCTGAATAGCAAATACCATTTTCATGTTCAGGGCTTACTTTCTGCCCCAAATGCAACAAAAAAGCCTAGCATATGTTATCACTGAACCTGATGCACCCCAGAAAGAATTTACTCTGTATATTAAGTCGTGGCTGGGTAATAATCACATCTGATGTGGCTGAAATAACAAAAACATTAACAGTGGAACAACGATTCCCTACTTAACGTTAAATAACGTTTAACTGTAAAAGTATATTTGTACTGAAATAAATTTTTATTTACACATTAATGTATACCTTTACATCTTATCTATACGTGACGTCATCCGTCGACAGCTTATCTATGTGTTGCGTCATGTACTCAACACACTCACTGTAGAACGTTCTTTGCTACCAAATAAATGGCAAGAACTCATAAACCGTAAGAGTTAGCTGAAATCTGTTTGCAAATTTGAAAAGCTCGTGTTTATTTACGTATTTCACTCCAAATATGTCCGATCTAACTCTTACGCTTTAGACGTGGCAAGCGGTTTAATTTATGGAACGAGGGTATAGTAATTACATGTTTTAGGTAATTATTTCAACAATGTATAAAATATACATTATAAAATAAAGCAAACATCATGTAGAAAAAGCCCTTTATTTACTCTTTAATTTACATATGGGTTTATATTCTCTATCTTACATAGGTCTCGAGTTATTGGCGTTTGAAGAAGTTACACACCAGCGTTACCTTACATCTTACAGTTTCCGTCGAGTGTACCGTGATTTTGTAAACGTTATTCAATGTCAAAAATGAAGTTTGTAATTATTAAAGTATGCAGTGGACGCAAAATAACTCCGAACTTGGACAACGTAGGATTAAGAGGGGAAAGAAAGATGGAAAGTGATTTCGACAAAATCAGTGGCAGCCTGATATTACTTTTTACTATTACTTATTACTACTGACTTTTACGGTAAACTGTATTTTCGGAACTAAAAAAACTGTTAATTACGAGGTTCACGCACATGCCGAAACCACACAACCTACTTTACAGCCTAAAAGTAATAACTTTCACATCCGATAGTACAAGAAAGGACCCGCTTATCTATTCGTGTGTGTTATCGCTCCGCTGTTTTCCTCTCCCCTGCACGCGTGTATTTGTAATGGTCATCCGAGCTTGGAGTTATTTTGCGCCCGCTGTACTACCTAAATTTAAATTTTTAATCTGGTTTGTTTTGTGCTGTTTTCATTATTCGTATAACCATTGCAAGTGAGTCAATTGTAAATCCATTAATTACCAGCGGTGCAGTAAGATATTCTTCTACTGAAAATAAGTTACCTCGATCATTTACCTCGTTCCTCATAAAAGTATGTCTCAGCCGTCATCCACGTCTTGTTTGTTTATCTACGGTCTGTTTAACAACTACTTCAATAGTTCATATTATATAGCGTTGGAACAACCGTGTCTTATTACGTGAGGTCATCCTAGCCAAAATGCTGTATAACTTTCTTGTTTCTTCATACCACATAACTCCTAAGCCCATATGTTTATAGATGAAGTTGGCCTCTTAAATTTAATGATGCGCTTGGCAGATAACAAGAGAAACATTATCATTTTAAAAGAATGACTTGAACAAGTGATCTTGGGAGCCTGCCAAAGTGAGAGCATTTATCATGGACCAGTTCTTATTGCCAAGCTTTTGCAGTTGCTCTAATGATTTACTTCGAACTTCAACAAATAATTGCAATCGTCGGTTTTTATTACTTCAACGACAAACGTTTGAAGATTCAAATTCAAAGCAGGTTATTGTAGCCGTAATACTCGGGTATTGTATTCGGGAAGTACGTGGTTCAGTACTTCTGCTGGGTTACCAGCTGTTATGAGTTTTTTGGAACTTTCCTCAAACTTTTCAGTTGATATAGTCATGATCAACTTCACATTTCATTCTATGCCCTATAACCTTTGAAATGTAAAAAGCGCTGATAAAAAATATAAGAATCAAGAAAAATATAAATGTATTTATTTAAACTCGGAAGGACATAGACACTAACCGATTAACGTAAATCTTTATTCAATTAATTCTTGATTATTTATATCTTACGTCATTAATTTTATAATTTTTGTTCAACATTCGAATTAAAAATATGTATTATAATTTTATCTCTCGTTGTTATAGATTAAATCAAGAAAGAATAGATTTGAGAAACACACAGCACGCAAGGGTAATCAGAAATCAAGACTTACTAAATTTAAATCTTATAATATTAATACAGCAGACAATTTAAGGGGTCTACGCGTAGATAGGAAGATAATATTAAAACGTATATTAAAAATATGACATGGACTGGATAAATCTGATTTAGGATAGGTTCCAATGAGTAGATCTTGGGGCTCCATAAAGACGGGTTAATTTTTGGGGTAGCTGAGACGACCCTCGGCTTGTCGAGAATGACTTTGATTCAAGGAATTAATAATGTGTTGGGCTAAGTAAATATTTGTAACATGAAAGTCAATGAAAAACAATTTTGTGTAATTGAATTTTCAAGCCTCTCGCCACTGTTTCTGGTTCCTGGATGTTATTTAGTCCCCGGCAGTGCCCATCAGGCGTTAAATAGCAAACGCAGAAGAGCCAAAGATCTCCGCCCTTCGTCAGGCAGTTCAAATCTAACGTCAGTACCACTTTCTCCCGCTGACATACGGGTCGGTAAGGCAGATATCAGACAGAAGCTTCTAGTGGTTTATCAACATGATTTCCCAACTCTACGTTTCCTTCAGAAGGAGGGCATTTGACGTCATTGTCGTACTTCCCTCTTATAAGAAGGTTGTGGCAGGCGTGACAGGCAGTTAGTTGTGCTAGAGAGAAGCCGAGAGAGTCCGACGTCATGTCCCTGGCAACTTGTTACGTGGTTTTCGTCATTATTGCAGCCGCAGCTGTAGCAGCTCCACCAGGTGGGAAATTGTTTTAAAAGTCTGGAGAATTTTGTTATAAAATTATATTTAACATTTTGGATACAAGCCTCTCCACACACATTCCATATTACGCTATAAGGAAGTGGCTGCAGTTTTTTAAGCTAAATTACGCTGACAGTGTTTTTGAAACACGGTACTAGTAAACAAAACAATAAACATGCTCCTTATTATTTTTAATAATTATATAAAATATTAAGATATTATTTTTACTGTTGTCACTATTACTACTGCTACATTCCACGAACTTGATGACTGGGGTTAGATAGACTACCCGGAAAGCGCATTAAGATCTTAGCCATTTCGGTTCATAGAACGTATCTGGGACTCATCGAGCCTCATACCAATTTGTGTTTGATTCATCACCTCCATTGATTTGTTTCATGTAATGCCAGTATCTAACGCCTGTGCGATTGAGTTGACAACAAATCCATTAACCAGTTAATATACATTTTAATATTATCCTTCAAACTATGTTACATCTCCAAAGTTGTTTCTCTCATGGGTATTCAAAACAAAATGTTATCTTACTTGGAAAAGTACAGTACTTCATTTATTACTTTGGAAATATAATAAAATTTCGAAGGAAGCAATCGTGATATTTCCAGCATGTCCTTGAAGAGATAGAAGAAAACCACGGAAAACCTTAATCAAGATGTAATGCAACCGAGGTTCGAACCGGGTACCTTTAGAATTCAAATGACACAAATGTGCTTCGTAGTTCGTTGGTTTGTTTACTAATTATTTATTCAGTTACTTATTCAGCCAGTGCGTCAGTACATTAGGCTACTTAATTTGTTAGATAGTTCATCAATCAGTCTTTTAATTGTTGGATAATCGGTCAGTCAGTCACTTACATGTTTATCCACTCAGATAGACGGCCAAACATAAAGTTGATACCTACCAGCAAACTAAAGAAAGAATAGTCAGTTATTTCGTTGAAATTGCCAAATAAATGCAAAACCGATAACTGAAGGATTCCATGGTGCTATCCATGCATTTTGAAATGTATATACCATGGCCTTATTCAAGCACGTAAGAACTCGTGTGGTTCTGTGTACAAGAGGTCGGCTAATCAGTCTTGACTGAACTGTCGTGGTTTTTCTCGGTTCATTCACAACAACGAAGGAAATTAAGAAACAGCTGATAATAGCTCCCTTCGTTATAACTCGGCGGGGTCTCGCCGTAGCAACAGTTTTCTTCGCTTTTGGGGCGTTTTAGAACCAGGCCCACCTGTGCAGATCAAGTGCTATCGTGGTTTTCTTCAGTCTCTTCGTTAGAATGCTACAGTAATACCTACATAGGCTACAACAGTTTCATCCACGTTCTTTCCAATTCATCGTTTATATCCGGCCTAATTCACAGGTAAAAAGGAAACAGAAATTTGTCAAAATGCAATAACTGATGTGTACTGTCAACGTATAGTACAAGAAAAGTGAGTGGTGAACACAAAATCATACCGACACAGTCGAGTTCCAAAATTTGCACCAGATTAGATGCATCGCGAGCAACGCTGTTCTGCAAACTTTGTTAGCTTAACTGTTACTTCGCTCTGCAGGACAGGGCCCAGAGTGTGCTTGCTTCATGCGTAAACTCTGCTCCACCCTGAGGCCCGGAATCGCCTAGAGCGTTACCAGCACACCAAGTTACGCAGTAAGATAATTAATTAATTGACTTCCGGCTTATAGTTCCTCGGGCAGCGAATCTACATTAACTGAAAACATGAAGGAACAAGAAAAAGGGAAGAAGAAAGAAACGAAGAGAGGAAGATAGAAAGAATTGAAAAGAAGAAGCAATGACGTGGAAAACAATGCGAGTTATGTGGTAAATTTATCCATTTTCAAGTTTTCTGTCATCCTGAGGCGATTTATATTAAAATGCACGTTAGAAATTCAGAGAATCTGCAGTTGGATGATCAAGTAAGGTAAATTCTTTGCCCAGTAAATATAAAGAGGTAAGTAGACACCAAACTACAAAGATACCAAAAGTTAAGACTTTATCAGCACAATTGTCAAATCATCAAAAGTCCAGAAATACACTAACACAAATATGTATACCTTTGTGTCTTTATCGACGCTTTTATGGGAGACTTAAATGAAGCAAGAGACAAGACCAGGATTACATTCGCTGAAATTAAATTCATGAGAATAAAAGCAGAATGCACTTGGATAGGCTATGAAAGAAACGAAGATATGAAATAAATAATCATTTGGGTTCAAATTATTGACAGAAAGCGGAGACGTACTTCCCGAACTATTAAAGGATTATAAATTCTATGGATTAAGAAGCTGGAGAACTTTTGGATGAGGGAGGCCTGAACCGGTCAACAAGTGCTATTGCTAGATGATGACAAATCTGAAATACCGAAACTTATTCGATGGTAATAGAATGCGCACAAACCTTGCAAATCTCGGAGCACAGAAAGCTTCCTGCAGAGATCCTTACATACAAAATTTTTAGACCATCACCTGAAAACTCGTATCTTTTAGAGGCAGGGACCTAATTTTTAAGTACCGTTTAGATGGGCTACCCGCTTATTCGAGAAATCAAAGCAAAATAATCAAAATCATCGAACACATTGGAAATAATACACACACCAAACTCCAAGCACGAAGGACGAAAGCATAGGATAATAAATGGAGATTTTATTGAAGTTCTTAGAAGATCCCGGAAAGTGGGGGATGTAGTGGGACACAGTAATGAGGGGTGGAGTTTCGTGCGGCCCCAACACTCCGGGGGCCAATGGGCATAATCAGACAGAAGAGCAAGGGCCCCCGAGAGATATCGGGAGACATGACGCCGTAGGTTACTGACACTTCGCTCCAAAGAAAATATTGCGGGTAATTAGAACCAAACATAGCGGATGTTAATCATTATCATCATGTCTGTTACGTAATTTGAAACATAAGAGAATCGTGTCAGCGCGTTCAAAAGGTTGCACATCAACTATGCTGGCTCTAAAAGTACGGTGCCCTAATGCTGTTAGCACTGAATTCCTATCTAACAGCTAAAACTTTAAAGAACAAAAAATTGAGGGACAGAGAAAAGTTGAAGGGGCGATGTGAGACTGAATTTGTTACGGTAGGGTGGAGGGCGGTGGATGATACATAATTTTCTATCTCTAAATTCTCCCAGGCAGTGTTCGTCCTAAAGGCCGATTGTAATGTATGTAAAGCAACCGGAAGTTAAATTTCTGGTTCTCACGACGACGAGCATAAAATATGGCTGTCTCCTAGGATGTTACACCGTGTAGTCTGGTAAATATTGGCGATATTTCAGAGGTATTTCCTGCTTTCATCATCAGGGCGATTGTATTATATGTGTACTTTGTTTCTTTGTTCTGTTCTTTTAAGGCACTAAATTTCGTGTTTTTCTCTGAAATGATTGCATCCTCATCTGGTATGTAATTCTACCAGGTTTGCGCTGCTTTAGACTTTGTGGTAATGTAGACTGACAACCGCTTACGGGGGTTAAATTGTTCCACTTGGTCATTTGTTCTGGGCACCATTCCACCATATTCAAGTGAATTATTTCAGATAGATTTATCCAGATTGTATGATTTCTACGAGGACCTTTTGTGGCAGTTATCTCTAACCTCATTTTATGTCATTAATTCGGATATTGTTATTGAGGACGTGAGTAATATTCATTCAGTCTTTGCTATTTTCAGAATTGTACACTGATTTTGTATTTCTGTCTTGTTGCTTTAACAGTTACTTTTGGTGTCTTATTGATTTGATTTGTTATTTTGGCATGAGCAAGTCACCTCCTTCTGACATTCAAGTTTATTGTAAACACGTTTTGCTATATTCTGCATTTGTGTCCATGCAGTAAACAAATACAAACACACGGTCAGTAGAACATTAGCGGATAGAGAGTATTCCTATCATGATATTAAGGTAAATATTAGGCCAAATTAAAGTATAAATTTGTAGTTAATAATACTGGGTAAAATTTCCACAGATCTATTACCCGAGATTCGGTAAAAACTCTCACAATAATTGCCGTCTCTCGTCACTTGGACCAAATCGCAGAGACTCAGCATGCAGCAGAAATATCCGCAGTTCCAAGTGAGCTAAAGATGCAAAATCTGTACATCTCTTGGGGCAATAATGGTTACTAGAAGGCCCTTACGTTTACAGTTTTCATATTATCCAGTCTTTGAAGAAGGCGTCCGTGGTACGTCCATTCCAGTTGGACGCCAATGTGCAAGCTCTTGGTCTTACCAGAACATTACGAACGATGTGTAGGCAAAGATATAAGAGACCTCTTTGAGGTAAAATAGCACTAGTCTGGAGCGACTGAGGAAGACCGCAAAGACACCAAGCTGCTAGTTTCTAAAAACTTCCAATCACTGATCATAACAGACCTGCTGTATGTCTCCGGAGGTATCCAGCGGTAATGAAAGTTCCAAATAAAGATTTTCGTGGTTTTATTCAGTCCATCCTGGCTACTGATTTATTAGAACATTGGAATAGACAACAAATTCATCCGTAATGAGTGATATACGTACTGGTAGTGGTACCAGACTATACGGCGCTATAGGCAGAATGCAGAAAACAGCTATCTTCAGTGGTATCAGTCTCCTTATAAGTATAAAATATTGATACGTAGCCACGTCTGATAAATCTTTAGCAGTGATAACCATGTGTACCGCCTACTTTAAAGTTCGGTGATTTCATATTTCGCCCAGTGAATGTACTTACGTGTTTCGTTTGGTTCTCACAGTAAACATCTTTGTAAATGAAAGGTGTGTTTTCTGAAAACTAGAAACCTATAATTTAAATATTATTTAGATAAACTTTACCCCTATATTATGAAAGTGCACTACCTTTACTTTTATCGTCTATGTCTTTTAGATAGTTTCTTTGTTATTTCCACGATGTTTGTTTCTGATATCTGTAAAGGGTCATTAAAACTTTTCCTGTGAGAATTGTCCATACCATCAAAGTGCGTGTGAGTTGAAGGAAAAATTCTTTAATAAATGTCCTAATTGAATTGGTAATATTTCTACCCTGAAGGGTAGTTCCAGAAGCCTGCGATAGTGCTCAGGCCCCTGTGGCATAAATCTCGTTGATATATGAGGAAAGCCGGTAGCTACTGCAACATTGAGCTCCAGGGGTCACAACAAACCTTCCGGCAAATGCCGTTGTGGAAAATAACCGAAGTAGGATTAGTAGTATCAGCAAACAGAAACGTGAACATGGGGATTAAATAAACTGTCATAAAATAAAATATACAAATCCGACTCCATTCGTAATAAACATTTCAGAATTTATCTGTAACGGAGATGCGGAGTGTTTTGTGGCAGGTACGAAATTAATCTTTTGAAAATGGATGTCTTCTGGGTTGTTGCACCGTGTAGTCTGGTAGAAGTTTACCGACGTTTCAGAGGTCCTAGCTGCCTCCATCATCAGGGCAATGACTCATAGCCCTAATGACGCAATTTCAGACTTGTGTATATTGACAGATCACTTGAAATTCAACGGAAAATGGTTTTTATTGTTTTCATCCTTTGTCTTTCCTTAACCCTTTCCCTCCGTTGTCTCTTAGAAGTACTTCTAAAAGCTGTCTAAAGGAAACAGCATTTGTTAAATAGAATATTTTGTTATACGGAGTCATTACTGAAGACTTGGTTCGTCACGTACAGCAAACACATTCGCCATAAAGAATATTCTATAATTACACAGCAAAAGGGTCTACATAATAAATTTGTCGAAAGTCATTCAGTCGTTCTAAAATTGTTACGTGCGTACGGACGGAAGGACAGAGCGAATTTAACAGGCACGCTTGCAAAGGGGCCTGAAATTGAAATATGAAGTTTTAAGGCAAATTCTCTTATCGTTACTCATTAACCACTGTGCCTAGTGATTAGTGGCTGCATATATCTGACGGAAGCAGGAAGTTGGTATCCTTTACTTTTCAGAAGAGCTAGTTCCAGCCTTCGAAACATCTCACTACGTATTTAGCCAGACATGAAACAACGTTGGAAAACAAATCTCCGATGAGAACACTTCAAAAAAGTTGCAAGTGGGGAAGAATTTGCGACCCCTGGTACATATTCAGTTTATAGGAAAGAATGCTATTAAAAAACTATTTTCACATTAAAAAGATTGGGGTGCGTGTCTGGGTTCTGAGCAAAGCGTTTCGTGCATCTTGGAAGGCTACTGGTCATGAAATACCCTTGTGATCGCTACTGCATTACGTTTGGCCGGCCTCCGGGAGCGAACAAGCTTGTAAATGATTACCGTGGAAAGAATCTCGGATATGTAGCCCCACGTTCCCACATGCGGCCAGCATGTACTTCAGCAGCGGCTAGTAAAATTCTCAAACGCGGCCAGCAATTACATCAGCAGTAGATCCTCCCGATGTTCACAGATGCGACCACCAATTACTTTATCTACTCGTGATGATCTAAAATGCTATTGCTTTAGCTGAATCACATGGTATTTCCACATGCGACCAATACGTATTATATCAGCAGTGGCCCTTGTTGTTCCCGCATTCAGTCAGTAATTAGTCAGCAGCGGCTGGGGAAGAAATGTACATATCTCTTTGTGATTTTTACATAATGACCGCAATAGAGACACTAGATATGACTTAAACCATCGTGGTCAAACTGGTGGCCCATGGGCCACGTCCGGCCTGAGACCAATTGTAACCAGGCCTGCGATATTATTTGTTAATTTGTTACTAATTACTACAAAGTCATGCAATTTGTCGTCATATTTCTTTCTCAGATCACTTGTGAAATGCAATCGCCTTGATGAAAAATCTCTTTACACTTTTAATTTAACGAATAATGCCACAAACAATGCAAATTATTTGTATTGATATGTTATGCTATTCACTTTGAACCTCTGAAAGCAAAATTTTGCTTTGTCTTCCGTCAGTTGATGAGTCGAGACAGGCTCGCCCAGTAAAGTGGTTGGGACCGGTCTGGATGATACCGGTAGAGGAACACTGATCTACACAAAAAATGTGCGACGGAACTGAATAAAATTCCCTGTAACGACCATAATTATAGATAAGCCTATCAAGTGGTTTATTTTTTGTTCACAGGAGAAGGAACGGACTTGCCAGAGATCAAACCGGAGGAACCATGTTCTCGTGCCGGCGGGATCTGTCTTCCGGAGAAGGAGTGCCCCGTTGACCATCTCAGCCCCAAAAGAGGGCTTTGTCCTGAACAGCAGAAGGAGGGAGTTGAGTGTTGTCATGGCCGTACGTTGAGATACTACTTATGTAACAAGTTCTCATGAAGAATCCATAAGTTTTAAAAATTTTACGACCAGATTTACTGCAAATCGTATAATTAAACAGTGACAGGAAGGAAAATAAATGACTGCGGGCTGGACAGTCTGGTTTCGAGGTAGTAAACATTTGAATACAGGCTTGCATTTACGCTGGGGATACTCAAATGGCAACCCATTGTCTGAATACGGTCAGCAAAATGGGATTTCAGGACCACATAGAGCTATATAAAGGGTTTTCGAAGGTGGAAGCTACAGTTGTGAAAGAGAGGGGGTTAGAAGAAAACACTGAAGATATTGGGTTGATGGTTTTCTTGAAGCGCCGTGTTGAACACGTCAATTGTTTTGTGTTTCAGTTTCTGTCTTGGAGAGGCGCTGCAGTAAGCGAGGTGGACAATGCACTTCCAAAGCACGATGCGGGCGCCAACTGTGGGACAATTATGCGCAGGACTGCAGTCAGAACGAAGCGTGCTGCATTCTGGTGAAATAATATCGAATTATAGAACATTACGACCGTCATCCTCCGTCATGTCAGTCGTGGGGATCGGGAAAGCAGGACACTCCGAGAATGGAAACATCACCCTTCCACAGTTGCGTTATCTAATGTTTCCCATGCAATCATTAATTTGTAAGTCAATGAAAAACTTCATACCTCATCACAACCTACATCTATCATTTTCCGCTTACAGCGGACCGGGAGAGCCCACGCGAAAAGGCGGCGACTGGAAATGCGTTGAATGACCGACAGACACAAAACACTTACCCACAGTTTTCGATTTGTGATTTAATACCAAAAAGTTCCAAAATGTTCACATATTTGTGTGTGTGTGTGTGTGTGTGACTGTAATGATGATGTTTCACCATCATGTAATTACAATTACAATTTTATGAACTACACTCTGTCCTTACTTATGTATTTAGCTCTGTTTCTATTTCAGATGCCCAGCCTGTGTCCATGTTAATTTCAGTAAACGCTCAAATAACATGTATAATACTATAATATAATCTTACACGTGTTAAAAAGCAAAATAAATCTTGATAGTTATTACGTCAACCAAAATGTTTTGTTGAAAAAGTCTCTGTATCATTTTAAACACATTTTGGTTTTTCAGGTTTAGAGCATTAAGGTTCTCTGTTTTGCTAAACTTACTAAAAATTAAGCTACGCTCTGCGGTTTGGCATATGAAACATACGGGCCTACAGAGGAGCACTGTCTCCCTCTTATAAATCTTTTCTTTTGCATTTTGTCCAAATAACGCATAAAACAAAAGTATAGTTTTATGTGGGAGATGGGTCATCGGCTATCTAATTCAAATCAAAACCATTCACAAGAATAACAGAATTAAAAAGTGATATGACGATGTATTTGTTTGTAGCCTGTGGAAGTTTATTAACAGGCAAGGAACCGAATTCATTTAATTTCATTTTACTTATAACAGCGGCGGAAGAGACCGCCACTTATTCGTTTCGCATTCAATTAAATTGTTTCCTTGTTCATAGAAAAGTTTGGAATAGTTATGATAATGAGAGCGATTAGCAGCGCCCGAAGATTTGTCCTGGGGGCGGAGGATTAAATAAAGACCGGGATAATTACGCTTGCATAAACAGAACGAGACAAACGCCCTGCACATCGTATGCGATTTCTGCTTGTCATCTATCTGACTACACGTTCGCCATCTGTAGTGCTGTAGACAAACTATTTGCAACAGGGTGGTCAAGCGTTTAAGTCACCAAAGAGTTGCTAGGGGACTGCAGCGTCCGTATTTCCAGCTCAATAGTAATCGAGCAGCTATTGTTGCAGGTCTGTTCTCTTCAGACAAGAGGTCCAGATAAACCTAAGATATCATGTCCTTCTACGTGCCCCGTTTAATAACGTTGCATCTTCGTACGAACACCAGATCAATAATAACCTTTTCATCTTTATATGTTCTGATACATCGCCATCAATAACACTAATATGGCTGTCGAATGAATTTATGTGATATAAACAACACTGACAATACTTCATGTAGATTCTTGAAACGCTGTGTTGTAACAAATCTTATGTTGGACAGATTTTAGTTAGCCAGTCTTTGTAGAATGTAAAATAAAAATTAGGTAGCCCCTCGAAAACTACATTTAGCTCTCATTTTGCTGAAGATAACTAATTTACCATTGAACCTACACTTGTGGGATTTTGATTACAGATAGATCTAAACTTACCTACGAATTTTGTGTGAAACGTTTTCGTAATTTAACGATTATACGAGGCTCGTCCACAAAGTAAGTTTCCCTGGGGCCGTTTACAGAAACAAAACACAATTTCATGGAAATATTTATTGCAACAGATAGAGCAAGTGTCCAGCTATTTTTCAACATATTCGCCACCGGAATTGAGACATTTGTCATACCGTGGGACCAACTTTTGAATACCTGTGTCGTAGAAGTCTGCCGCCTGGGATTGAACCCACTGTGTGACAACCATCTCCGTCTCTCTGTCATTCTCAAAACGCTGACGCTGACCGGACAGGAATTTCTTGAAGTGTAGGAAAAGATGGAAATCACTGGGAGCGAGGTCCGGGCTGTAGGGTGAATGATGAAACACCTCCCAGCTGAACTCCTGCAGGAGACTTGCTGTCCGTCGAGCCGTGTGCGGCCTAGCGTTATCGTGCAGGAAGACAATACCGGCACTAAGACTGTACACAACTTTGATGTTATATCCGACGAATTTAACGTTTTCGGAATTTGTGTTAGTTTAAATCATATTCATAAATTTATAAGTAAGTAGAATTTGTTTAAGTTATCGTGCTTGATATTCTGTTACATACACCGAAGCATTAGAGGACAATTAGACGTTAAAAGTTCTTTCAAGAATTTATTATTTATACCAGTTTGGTGAGCGAATACTGATCTCTTATGTGGGACTACAACTAACACCCCTACTTAGTAGCCCAAACAAAGTACTTTAATAGAACATTGAAGTTTATTTATTAATTAATCTTGATATTTATTTAGAAGGTATGGCTATAACGTGTAGGCCAATGAATATATTTTTCCTTTTTTTATATATACTGGCAACATTGACTCCACGTGGAGATAACATAGTATTCTTATTTAAAGAAGTGTTGAAAAGAAAATTTGCAATGCGGAAGATTTGTTCACAACGAATCAGGGTTAAAAACAATAAAAACTGGCTATTTGTACGAAGACGATGTAGTTTATTCTAGAGTTTAGCCAAAATAAATGGTGATATAGGAAAAAATATAGAATGTTTAATAATGGCACTTCGCAAATAAATGTGAGAATTAAACTTTCGCGTCATTATTAAGCTAAGGCCTTTATTTTATATTTATTCATTTTTGTTTTATAATTTTTGTACTGACTAACAACGTCTTCAGTAACGGGCATGAAACAAACATTTCCGTTTGAATCTGCTTATTTGGAGTGACCAGTATACGAAACTGTAAACAAATTGAGCGCTAGGGGAAGGGCTAATTCAGGACATCCAAATTGCCTTCAGACCAAATATTTTAAGTGTAACAAAACCTAGTAAAAAATTTAAGGTTTTTCCTATGTGTAAACACGAAGTTTCTCTTTACGCAATATTCTGAATGTTTAATTTTCTTCAGCTTTCTTTGTCTAAATGTCTTTTTTAACACTTTGATTTCATTCTCTTTCTCCATGCCATATATATATACACACGTATATGGCATTTTAATTCCGTGAAGTATTTATGCATTTCCACTTAGTTTAATCTTTAATTACTCTTAGATGAATTTCTTTGTTAACTTGTAAAATAATTCATACTTTTCTTTGATAGTACCTACGGTTTAATCTTGCCTTCTTTCAGAGTTAGTAAACAAATAAACAGAAAAATTATTTATTTAATATACTTATTTATGGTATAGTTAATAATGGTGGCAGCAGCTCAAATTAAATAGCGCCAAATTACAGGATCGAGGAGGCTAGGGTTCGATTTTGGCCTGTTACGCCATAGTAGTAGTAGTAAATTGCAGGATGATTAATGAGCAATAAAGTGGAAAGTATAAAGCAGAAAACAGTCGTGACTTAATTTCAGGTACTATCCCGGCATATGACTGGAAGGACTAAGAAAAACCACGAAACCCTTAATAAGAACAGCCTGTCTCCTGGCCGAGATTTGAACCAGGGATCTCCCAAGTACGAAGTAGGAGTGAGTACTACTCTACTGTGACGTTCGGTACAAATAAATGTTAGTTACATTGACAGAATCACAACTAAAATATCATAGCAAAAAATTCGAGAAAGTATTTAATACTCGCCCTATACTATACGGAAATTGCCGAACTATCATTCGGTACCCTAGGCAGGCGGAGACAATGCGGCGGAAAGTGGTACTATAGTAGTTGATGTAATGCTTTTAACCTCTATTTAATTGTTTTGTGAAGTGGTTAATATTTAAACTTAATAGTGTGTGCAATACATGTTTTTGTGCTGTGACTTATTAGTAGGAATACATGATTTGTTGTGCTACAAACTAATAACAGTGTATTAATCTACACTATTGGACGGATGATGATCTAGCAAGACGGAAAATGCAGTTAGGTGAGTAAAGTTATGGCAACTACTTTGCAACAAATTGTATCTTGTTTTGACCAGGCTTATAAGACTATAACAGGGTGAAACGATTTGTCGGATTCTTAGGAATAACTAACTATTTATAATGGTACGCTAAGCAGAATGGTGTTCTGCTAACGCTATTGGTGTTTGAAGTTTGTTTACAACAAACCGGAATGGGTGTTTCGTTTGGAAGACGAACTGTAATGGCTGCGAGTTAGATGCATCAGACTGATGGATTCCAGTACTACGATAGTAACATTAAGTAGAATTTAACATTAATGAGGGGCTAAATGTAATACATGCGTGCTTAGTGTCTAATCCATAACCCTTTATCCGAAGACGAAATAATGTTCATATACAAATTGATGTATAACCACTTACAGATTCTAGAATATTCAGTTTCATAATGTGGTACGTATAAGTTCATCAAGCTTTGTCATTCATCTTCTTATCACTATTATATATACGTATGTCTAATTTCGGATACCGGTTATAAGAGCATTTTTGTGTAGAAACATAACACTACCAAATACAGTTTATTACTGTCAATATTTATAGACTAATTCAGTTTTGTTTAGCATACTGGTATTCGTTTAAGCTTAAAAACCACAGTCATTGCTTTCCCTGGGAAGAGTGGGGGGTTGTTACTAAAAGACTACAAGATGTCACAAACCAAAAGGCCACATTTCCACAGTTCACTGCCATGAAAACCTGAAATCTACAGTGTACAGTTTTGTACCTTTATATTGTGTTGTCTTCCTTTGTAAAGTCAGTGTATAAAATACTTTATGTAACAGGCCTAGGCAGAGGAATGAAATATATTTTTTGGCACAAGAATTTAAATTGTCTAATAATAATAACAACAACAACAAATTTTATTTTAAAATTTTGTAACATTCCGTAACCTTGTTTCCCGTTATAAACCATATATAATAGTTAATTTTTGTTACAGTTATTTCTATTATCCCACCGACATCTATTATTTGTTAACAGGATTAATTAAGTACGTTATTTTGAATTATTTCTTTTTACAGTTCCTAATAATGATGCTCCTACATTAATAATTCATTCACTTGTATCATCTACTGCAGGGGTTCTCAATCTTTTTCGCCGGCGTACCACTAATTCTAATTTAACTCATTAAATGTACCACTAACCAAATGCGTTCAGGGAAACCAGTTATTTATGTTAATATTAACGTTTGATTTTCTTACTTAGTTCGCGTACCACTAAACATTTTCTCGCGTACCATAGGTTGAGAAACGTTGGTCTAGTGGCATTTTTTATTGAAAGTCGTTTTACTAGTTTTGATTTTCTTCCTCTGTGTAAACTGGAGATGGACGTTTATAAAAAAAATATATGATCTTTTTACAAAATGCAGGCAATTTCATTAACCATTTAAGTAGCTGTCAGTTTTCAACAAAGACCCCTCACGATTGAGATGTTATGCCTTCTTTGCACGAAAAGAATGCCAAT